TTTGTATTCTCTGATCTCATTTACCCATTTAAATTTTGACTAAAATAAGGTCTATGGGATCTCAAATGAAAACATTTGACACTAGATAAACTGAGCTATGATTTGAGTCATAATTGACCTCATTTACAATTGAACTGGAATAGGCAGCGGGGTTCTCCCGTTGACAGAGATTAACTATATGTATTACAAAAACAGAGTCCGTGTAGTCCCTATGGCCGGAAGAAGTGAAACTTTATAGTAAAAAAATTCCAGAAATCAAGAAGTTTGCAATATATTGCTAAAACCAAAAATAATCTTATGGCTTTTTGGTTTTCCACAAAGAATAGCATGCGAATACCCATGATGGGGCAGAATATCCTTTCGTTGAGAATTTTTGCTAAAAATTTTGTGGCTAAGATGAATCATGATAGCAGTCCAATTCAATGTAGTATTTCCAATTCTACGCTTAATTTTTGGTGGGCTCCTTTAACGACTGAAGACATTGAAAGATGCATTAAATCGCCTCCAGTAGCGCTCAACGCAGCTGTCCGTTTTCTGTCCACGCATTGGCCATAAACCATCTTCACCGTGGCGTGAAATATTTAACGTAAACATCTTCGAACTCTAACAAGAAATTTCACTAAAAAAAATACTTAATTTATCTCTTAACATTCGAATAAAGTGTTCTGTAAGAAGCCATATCGTATATGACACAATATGCATTATGGGGTAAAGCATTCTGGTATATGTGAACATATACAAATATTCACACATTTACATGCATTCACTGATATTTAATGACTATGTTTGATATTTTATGCTGTCTCATTTTACGAAGCTGATTATTAAATCGTGTCAATTTTTTAAGTTTTCTTCCAACGAAATTGAGTACAGAATGATTTTCTTGATTTAGAATTAGTTTTAAGGCAATTTGTTTTCATTGAATAGTCTCTTCACATCCTTCGGTATACATACTGGTATTTATTAGTTTGCCAACGGCTCATGCCTCGTAAAATGTATGAATGGCCTTGGTATTTCGCTTTTAAGCAAATAGTTTAAATAAAACAATGGCTTTGATATTTACCCAATCTATTATTAACATAACTACTTTTGGTTAGCTTTCAAATACCCAATTCCTTGGTAACATGGAAAAATCAGCATGAAGTTCAAATAAATTTGTTTCGGCTAGAACCGTTGTTAGGCGACCACTAACACCTAGCGCCTAAATGCATACTACGCCGTCGATCAACCCACATAAAAAGGGCAGGAGAGATACATACTTATGTGCACAGCTGCATGTGCAAAAATTTCCTTTATGCAATTTATGAAATTTTTCCATATACCCTTCTCAAGTGTCATATATAAGGCACCTCAAAGTATGCTCAGCTTATACTGACGCACAACTCCTCTAGAGCTTTTTGCGGAATCCGAATGACTTAAGACTGGTTTTCTCTATGTCATATTTTAGCGCAAAAATTTGGCTACATATTTTGACACAA